TCCTTCATATTCCGACGAGCTCCGCAAGACTCCGGAGGAGTCCTTCGGAATCCGAAAGAATCATCAGGCATCCTTAGAAATCCTACTGAGTCTGATTTGCACGCCGTGCCCATGGGATCGCTTAGGAATAGTTCGGAACCCTGTGGGTTCCTTCGGAAACCTCGGAGAACCTTAGGAATCTTCTTCAAGTTTTCTGGGGATTCCTCCGGAATCCTGAGGCATCAGGAGAAATCCTTGGGGGCATCCATGGGATACTTTCGGAATCATGTGAAATTCCGAACGGATCCCTAAGAATACTTGGGCTTCCCACGGTCGAGAGATCATTTCCACGGTCGAGCTAAATCACACGTGTTTTGCAGAGATCACGGTCGAGGTGGCGACCAGTCGGCGATCGGATGGATCGCAGCCGCTTCTTCAAATTTCCATCGGGAGGCGTAAGGGAGCTCACTGCATCCAGAAGCGCTCTTAGGCTTTCCCCCGGAATCGAAACCTTGTTTTTTTTAATTCGTGGTGTCTGAGGCGGAGAACCCCCTGGAATTCCCGGCGCTTCCCTGCGTTATGTTCCAATGCAGGAGTTTAGCGCCAACCACCCAACCACACTCGACGACAGAATCGGAACCTTGTGTAAGCGTCCCAGAAACGTCGCAACCACTTCGGACAGATCGCAGCTGATTGTGGTCTGTCCGAAGTGGTTCCAGGAGGAGGAGGAGGAGGAGGAGGAGGAGGAGGAGGAGGCGGAGGAGGAGGAGGAGGGAGGAGGGGGGGGGAGAAGGAAGAGGAGGAGGAGGATGAGCGGTCCGGAGTGGCTGCGATCGCCCGTGCTCGCGGGTCTGGGGTCCCCCCCAGGCGACCCAACAGAGCCCCGGAGCCGCAAGAGGAACACCCAACTGGCCATCGCTCGGACGTCCATTCCCTGTGCTTTTTTCGGTTTCGTGCGTGGTTTTTCGCCAAATGGTCAAGGATGCTCCTCGATGGCCCTCGCCGAAGGAAAAATGCACACGTCCGAGCGATGCCAAGCCAACGAGCCGAAGGGAAACCCCTTCCCCAGGAGCCCTTCTCCGCCGCCCCGGGGGTGCTTCGGGGAGGAGGATCGCCAGGGGCGAACCCGGGGGGGGTGGACCCGGGGGGGGTCTGGAGGCCAACAGGGCCCACAAGGGTCCCCACGAGGGCTCGCGAGCGTCGTCGTCGTCGTCGTCGTCGTCGTCGTCGTCGTCGTCGTCGTCGTCGTCGTCGTCGTCGTCGTCGTCGTCGTCGTCGTCGTCCCCCGTCAGGGTCGGCGGCACTGGCCGTAAGGCCTCCGAAGAAGCGCACCACACAGCTTGCATACAGCTTACACCACAAAGATTGCACCACGTTTGTTCTCCTCTGGAAAAAACATGAGTTCCACCACCCTCTCTCCCCTGGACTTCTCCCCCGCTTCGTATTACATCTGCATACGTTGCACCCCGCAGTTGCGGAAAAGAGTGAGGGGGCGAGCGCAGGGAGCGTCGCGGGTGGGTCGCGGGCGGGTCGCGGGTGGGTCGCGAGGTGGGTCGCGGGGTGGGTCGTGGGTGGGTCGCGGGTGGGTCACGGGTGGGTCACGGGTCGGGCGGGTCGCGGGTGGGTCGCGGGTGGATCGCGAGAGGGACGATGACAACAACAATGCAACGCAACGCAATCACAATCAGCACCGCGGAACCCCACTTCAACCACCCACCGGGGGACAAAGAATCGCAGTTCGGCCCCCTCATTCTGATGAATACGCTTCATAGTTCCTTTGCAACATGAAATCACACCATCCAAGCCAGGGCGGTATCGGCAACCCTCCTTCATCCCTGTCAAATAATACGATGCGCGCACACACACACACATCATGTCCCACAAAAAACAATACAAAAAAACGGCACAGAGTCCACGCGCGCTCGCACGTCGAAATCACACCAAACACACAAGTTCTGCGAGCACTTCAACATACCAAATCAAACATCCTTTGGGATTTCACCACACACCTTGCAGAGAGACGTCCGAAAGAAGACGCTCGCTGCCCATGTTTATACCATTCCTGTATAGTGCTCAACGTCTTTTGATTCGTTGTTCAACGCTCGTTGGCCATTGGAGGGGCGCCGAACTGCCCCGATGGGGCCTCCTCGGGTCGGGCGAAAGGGGGGATAGCAAAGGGGGGGGTGAGAATCAGCTCACGTAGCTGATTCTCCCGGCGCCTCCCGGCGCCGGAGGCGGCCACGCATCGAGGAATGGCCGCCCCTCGGTGGGGCCGAAACCAGCTGCATGCAGCAAGTTTCGTAACCCCCCCTTTCCCAATCCCCCCCTTTCGTCCGGCCCGACCCCCTGCTGCGGCGCCCTGGGCTCTCCTCGGCCCTCCCAAGGGCGCCTCTCCCGAGGCCCCGCTGGGCCCCCCCCGGGGCGCTTCCTGGAGCCGCGTCGTTTAAATTAAAGCTCGTTGGCCATTGGAGGGGCGCCGAACTGCCCCGATGGGACCCCCTGCTGCGGCGCCCTGGGCTCCCCTCGGCCTCCCCGGCGGGCGCCCCTCCCGAGGCCCCGCTGGGGCCCCCCCGGGCGCTTCCGGGAGCCCCGCCGCCGCCGCCGCCGCCGCCCCCCCCTCTCCCCGCCGCCGCCTCCGCTGTCGCCGCCTCCGCCGTTGATCGTCGTCATCGTCGTCATCGTCGCCGCCGACGCCGTTGCCGCCGCTGTCGCCGTCTCGGCATCGTCGTCGCCGTCGTCGGCATCGTCGTCGTCGTTGCCGTTGCCACCGTCGTCGCCGTCGTCGGCATCGCCGGCGGCGCCTACGGCGCCACGAGCACGGCGGAGGCTCGCGGGGGGGGGGGGCCGCCGCGCCTCCCCGATCTTGTCCCACTGCCGCGCGCCGGCGTTCCACGAGAACGCGAAGGTGGTGGCGCCGTCCTGTCTGCGCCGCGCGGGCGAGGCTCGTTGTCGTGGTCGTCGTCGTCGTCGTCGTCGTCGTCGTCGTCGTCGTCGTCGTCGTCGTCGTCGTCGTCGACATCGTCGTCGTCGTCGTCGTCGCCGTCGTCACCCTCGCCGTCGACGTCGTCGTCTTCGTTATTGCCTCGCCGTCGTCAGTGGAGGAGGAGGAGGAGGAGGAGGAGGAGGAGGAGGAGGAGGAGGAGGAGAGGCAGAAGGAGGAGGGGGAGGACGGCTGCGGTCATTCGACGAAACTGCCCGAAGCTAAATGGCTGTCAATTGGCGGACAGTTTAAGAGAGCTTCGACTGTCTTCACATGAGTTTGGAGGTGGTTGGGGTTTCTTCTGGGCTGGATCGAGACGCCGCATGGATGGGGAATGGCGGAGGAGACGACGGAGATGGCCTCGGGACCCTCTCCGAAAACTCTGAGATGGAACTCTTCGGGCGCTCTTTCTGGACGCATCCCTCCAGTCCCACCAGCCCTCTGGGCGTCGGTGGTTTAGAGCGTTTCCTCTTCCACCCCTCCTTCTTCCCCTTCGGGGAGGGGTTTACCCCTCCCCCTACCCCCTCCCCACTGACCTGGACAGGGGGGGCCGCGGGTAGTTAGAGCGTCCAAGATGGCCCAACACGGCTCCAAGAGAGCCCCAGGGAGCTCAAAATGACCTCCAAGATGGCTCCAGATAGCGCAAGATGCCTCAAGATGGTCCCCATGATGTTCCAAGACGCTCCAAGAGCTTCCCAAAACGGTTTCAAGTGCTCACAAGAGCATCACTAGGATGCCTCCAAGAGGCCAAAATGCTTCAAAACCCTAGGGAAAATCAATGTTTTTGGTGTTCTCACTTTTTCGCTTGCGATGTGCATCCGAGGCGTCAAGATGGCTCTAAGATGGCTCAAGATAGCTCCAAAAGGGGCCCAAAAAAGCCCAAAGACGGCGCCAAGAGCGGCGAACGCTCCAAGAGCACCCCAAGAGGGGTTCAGGAGGCGATTTTAAAGGCTCTACAAGGGCGACGCTAAAAAATGCTTCCGCTTTCTTTGCCAGATCCCCTCCAACATGGCTCTACCAGCGCCTCTGAGGCCTCCAAGAGCGCTTCAAGAGCGCCCCAAACGACCCATGTGGCCCCAAGAAGCTCCCAAGAGGCCCCCAGGATGCCCCCAAGAGGCTCCCAAGAGACCCCCACGAGGCCCCAAGAGACCCCCCAGAGGCACCCAAGACGCTCCAAGAGGCCTCGGCGAGAATGCCCAAATCATTGATTTTACTAAGGTTTTGGCCACATTTGGGCCTCCTGGGGGGGGTGGCACTGCTTCAGATGACTCCAAGAGCGCCTGGGAGAGCCCAAGATGACCTCCAAGATGGCTCAAGATATCCCAAGATGCCTCAAGATGGCTCCCACGATGCTCCAAGAGGCCCCAAGACCGCTTCAGGACGGCTCCAAGTGGCCAAAGAGCTCCCCCAGGAGGCCCCGAAGAGGCCAAAATCCTTCCAAAACCTTCGGAAAATCAACATTTTGGGCTTTCTCGCCTTTTCGCTTCCGATGGCCATCCGAGGCTTCAAGATGACTCCAAGATGGCCCAAGAGGGCTCCAAGAGCGCTCTGAAGGCTCCCAAGAGCGCTTCAAGAGGGCCCCACGAGGCGCCCATGAGGCCCCAGGAGGCCCCAACAAGCGCCCCAGAGGCCTCCAAGAGGCCCCCAAGAGACCCCCAAGAGGCCCCAAGAAGCTCTCCAAAGCACCCAAGACGCTCTAAGAGGCGTCCGGGACCGCCAAGAGGCCCCTAAGACGCTCCAACTGGCCTCCACTGGGGTACCCTTCCTTTGTGTGCTGCCCACTTCCCTGATCGAGGCACTTCCTCTGGGCATCGTTTCTGGATGGGCTGGTGGGGTTACGCGAAGCGTTCCAAAATTTGGTAAAACCTGAGGATTCAATGGTGGTGGCCTTCTCGCCCTCTCTCTTCAAATTGCCTTCCGAGGTCTCGAAACAGCTTCAAGATGGCCCAAGAGAGTCCCAAGAGGGAGGTACGACAAGTACAGGAACTTCAGGCGGCGAGCCACGGTGTTTCAGAGGCTGTGCGCTCGGCGCAGACATCAGGTGGTGAGTGAAGGAGCGTATATACTCCTGCAGTCATTGCAGGGTGACGCATGGGACGCCTGCGACGAGACAAGCTTCGAGGGGTTGGACACGCGCGAAGCATTCGACGATATCTTCGACAATGAAGACTTGCTGTACCGCTACAGGCACGAGGTGGGATTGCACAGGAGGTGTGATGCCTTTGGAGAGTTCTCGCGGCAGCCGAAGGAGACGCTCAAGGCGTACGTGCTGCGGAACGGCAAGGAGTTGACGAAGCTGCTCGAGGCAGGCTTGGATTTGCCAGACCTGCTAGTGGGATGGTACATGATGACGAGAGCAGCGGTACCAAAAAAGGCAGATTCCGAACCTCAAGGCGCATTGCAACAGTCGCTTGACGGCGCAGGTCGTGACCGAGAGTCTCAAGACGATGTTCGGCGGCGACAGCGTGACGCACAAGAAGGACATTGACAGAGTGCTGCACACCTACAAGGCGAAGCACAAGGAAGGCGAAAGCGACTGGGTGGAGGACACCTGGGAGGATGCGGAGGATGCATGGTACGAAGACGACGAAGATCCACATGAGCATTTTCAAGAAGGAGAAGACGAGTGGTACGATGACGTTGGCTGGGAAGACGAAGTGCCCGAGGAGTTGGAGACGGCCTACGAGCTGGCGGCGAGGTCCAAAAAGAGTGAGCTGGCGAAGTCGAGAGGCTTCTACCCAGTGGTGGCGCTGATCGGCGGACGACGAGACGGACTACCACCACCGCGAGCTGGCACGGCGAGACCACCGAAAGGCAGAGGATAATCTTGCGGAGCTTCAGCAAGGGCAAGGCAAAAGGCAAGCACGGTGGTAGGAGGCCGTTCGGTTTCCAGATGACTGCTCATCTGGACGGAAGCCCTAAGACGCACGGCACTGGATCGACATAGCAGCACGGGCCACGTCTCAATCGTCGGAGGGATGGGATCTCTAAGGACGAGGATGCGAAGATGTTGCGCGAGATTCGTGGCGACATGGCTGCAACACAGGTCGCACCTCGCATGGAGACGGCATCTGGCCCACCGCTCGAGGAGCTCAGCCTGGCCACGGGGAAAGGAGCTGGCGACAGTGGAGCGGCAAAGCCTGTGATGGGTCTAGATGACTACCTACCAGACCACCCCAACCCAACCCGAAGACCCGAATTTCGGGTTGGGGGGGTAAGGGTTCCACATGTGCTATTTATATGTTTCCGAGCCCCCCCCCATGGAATGGAGGGTAAATCTGAGCCTTCGGGTTGGGTTGGGGTGGTTTGGTGGGTGGTGACTAGGGGAGCGGCCGTCATGGCGGAAGAAGCTGAACGACATGGGTCCACCTCGCGCCGGGAAGAGTGACGCTGCTGGTGGCGCGACCCTGCGTGGAGGATTGGGACATCGTCATGGACTACGCGTCGCAGGTCTGGGAAGGCATCGACACCAACGAGACGGGCCACATGATCATAGACCTGTCGAGTGTCCTGGAGGGCGCGCTAGAGGCGACATAGGAGTCAAGCTCAATCGACGCCGACACCGACGGGGACCACCAGGTCGAGAGCGAGAACGAGACGGACTTCCTCGTGACCAGCAGCCACGGACATGAGACGACGAACGCGGAGACGACGGACGAGTTCGACCCCAAACAACTGACGGAGCTGTTCAGCAAGGGGGACGGGACCCTCGACGAGAAGCCGACTGTGAAGCAGAAGTTCTGGGAGATCTTCGTAGACGAAGGCCGAATTTCACAGTGCGTCGAGCAGCACGGCGATGTCACGACGGAGAAGTTCACGGTGGACACCAGGTGGGATTTCACTCGGCGGGCACATCAAGACGCGTTCATGGCCAAACTGAGGAAGGAGCGGCCAGAAGAGGTTTGGACAGCACCACCATGCACGCTGTGGTCAACGATCAACACGCTCAACGACGCCAGCAAGGACAACTGGTACCGACAACAGCGACGGCGCGAACGAGAGAAGAAAACTGAGTTCCTTCAGTTCAACAGAGGCATCGACGAGCAGCAGGACTGGCACGAGTGGAACGCGCACTTGGAGCACCCGCGCTATGCGACTTAGTGGGGCACCGACGCGTGGGCCAGCATGACGGGCTACGACACGTTCGTGGCCAAGTGGGCATACTTGCTGGTTGCACTAGACGCGGCTGGTCGGCATTTCGGGCGGATCAAGAAGCCGACGAATGTGCGAACGGCGAAGTTCAAGATGCATGAGGGACTCTAGAGGCGCTGCAGCTGCAAGGATACGCATGCATTATCATACTAGAAGGAGCTCACAATATGCGCGAGTGGAGGATTACCCAAGACGCATGGCGTTCCAAGCGGCCACTTGCATCGTGGACGACCCGCAGAACGGGTCAGGCTCCGCGGTGGAGGAGATGACCCATGAGGACCTGGACAAGACGGAGCACAAAGAGGTCTGGAAGACCCTGTCCGAGAAGTTCACGATCGACGAGGTCAAGTGGGTAGAGAATGACCACATCCAGATGGGCCATCCATCAAGTGAGGCGATGGCAGCGGCACTGGAGGAGATGAATGTGGACGATCGCTTGATCAGCTGTGCAAGGATATACATTTGCGAGGTGCGCCTCAAGAGGCAGAGGCCCAAGTCCGTAAGGGTTGCGACAGTGGCTTCAATGACACGGTTGAAATCGGCACGTTCCACATCATGTGGCGCGAGAAGCACAAGCTGATCTTCACTATCATGGACGAAAACTCGAGGTACGAGGTGGACGTCGCGGTGAAAGACGAGGAGGACACAACGGATATGAAGGCGATCGAGAAACATTGGATTCAGTGGGCAGGCGCACCGGCAAGGATACGAGCAGATCAGAGCAGAGCGCAAGTGAGCGAGGAGTTCGGGAACTGGTGCGAAGACAGGCAGATCAAGCTGGTTTTCACTCCGAGAGATGCGTACCACCGATCGGGTATTCTCGAAAGTAACCACCAAGTACAGTCGGGGCGTTGACCTAAGGAACCCTAAATTAGGAACGAGGCCCCTGGTTTCCACAAGTTGAACTTCGATTTCGTGTCGAAGACCTAAGGAAAATCTAAGGGAAGCTGTGAAACACTTCAGGAACACGGAGCCCCTCCCCGACGAGAAGGGCTCCTTCTTCAGGGCCCCGACTGCACGACGGGAGCAGATCGCCCGACATCACTAAGATCGACACGACGACCAGTTGAAGGTGACGGTGCGAGTTGCCCTGCGATACGAGGAATCGGCTGCGTTTGAGAAGGCGAAAACCCACCCCCACCCCCAGTCCCGACCCCATTTCCGAACCCTCGATCCGGGGGGTCGGGACTGGGGGTGGGGGTGGGTTTTCGGGGTCAGCGCATGACTAGAGGGAAATTAGGACACACAAATAAATACACACAAATAAAAATAGTCCCCATATTTTCCCATATTTTCTGGGTTTTTGTCTTCCCCCCCAATTCCCATATTTTCCTGGGAATCGAGGATTAATTGTGTCTGTGTGTTTTTTCCCTCCTGAATGACGAGGAGTTCTACCAGAACCTTGGAGGCCTAGAAATGGGCACCACCACCAACCCAGGGGGTTGCCTCCACATGGGGACGATGATCCTGGATTTCGGTGTTGGTGGCAATATTTCGGTCACTTTGAAGCCAGATTATTACCACCATCACCGAGATCGGGATCTTCTTCCCTCGGTAGATGCATACCGCCGATTTGGGTGTTGGTTAGAGGAAAGAGAGCTATGCACATACACCGATTCTGGCCAGGCCCATGCTGAGCCCAGGATCGGTGCATACGCCCTCCTACCTTGGCTAGGAAGGTATATGCACCGATCCTGGGTCAAGGATGGACTTTGCCAGGATCGGTGCATGCGCATAGTTCTCTTCGCCCGATCTAGGCATGCGAGAACCTGGCGCGCCGGAGGTGCGCTGGCAAGGCCTTCCTGGCAGCCGGCATGTCCAGGGCAGTGCGAAAGGCGCTGGCGGCGAAGAACATGACTACCTGCCAGACCACCCCAACCCAACCCGAAGACCCGAATTTCGGGTTGGGGGGGGTATGGGCTCAATATGTGTTTTTTCGATGTTCCCGGACACCCCCCCCACTAGAAACCGAGGGTAAATCAGACCCTTCGGGTTGGGTTGGGGTGGTTTGGTGGGTGGAGAGAACAGACCGTTGTCGCAGGAGTTTCAGCGGCGGCGCGACAAGGGCGAGAACGACCTCATCATGAGCTACTGGAAAGGACCTGCGACGGTCCCGCAGGTCGAGTGCACGGATGACCCGACAAGATGAGGCAGTCAGTGGTGTTCTGTGTGTTCGGTAGGCTGACCGACGACGCGAGAAAGCAGTTCGACGAGGCGAAGACAAAGGCGCTGCTACCCCTTGGATGAATAATCAAGCGTGGCAAGCAGTGAGCGAGACGATGCCAAGATAGACGAGATTTGCCCTGTGAGGTTCTTGCCGAAGTGGAAGATGAAAGACCGAGCCCGAGAGGCAGACGCTCGGGTGATCCTGCAGGGTTTCCACCTGGATGAGGTGACTGTCGGAAGCTGGGCGAGGGCCGCTAAAACCGTGGCTGCTAAAACGGCCCTCCCGGAAGGAAAAAACAACTTCCCAGAATGAGGCGCGGCACGCGAAAGATCGGGAGCGGCCAAGAGGGGGGTGTCCAAGAGGGGGGGGTGCAAATCATGACCCGCGGCATGTGCGCGGCCCAGCGGGAGGGCCAGGGGCGTAATGAAATAAGAGGAGGCGCCATGAAATCTGGGGAAATATCATGGCCCCGCCATGATATCCACCCCCCCCTAGTCATCGCCCTCATCACCCCCCTCTTTTCCGCCCCCGAAAAGAGTCAACGGGCTTCTTCCCGGAAGGACGAAGACAACTTCCCGGAACGAGGCGCGGCACGCGAAAGAATCAACGGGCTTCCTCCCGGAAGGACGAAGACGACTTCCCGGAGGTCGACTTTAGCAGCCACGGAGTCAGCAGCCCCTGCCCGGCTTCCGAGACTGGCACGAACGTCGAGGAGGCGAGCCCCACGCCCACCAGGCTGGCCAGGTACCTCATGCTGCTCGTGGCGGCCAACGTCAGGAGTGCGCTCCTGCAGTCCAAGGACGCACAGTATTCGGCTTGACCTAAGGAACCCTAAATAAGGAACGAGGCCCCTATTTCCCATAGGTTAACCTTCGATTTCCTGTCGAAAACATGAGGAAAGCCTGAGGCAAGCTGTGAGACACTTAAGCAACGCGGAGCCCCTTCCCAACGAAAAGGGTGCGCTCCTACAGTCCAAGGACGTACAGTATTCGGCTTGATCTAAGGAACCCTAAATAAGGAACGAGGCCCCTATTTCCCACAGGTTAACCTTCGATTCCCCATCGAAAACCGTGGGAAAACCCAAGGCAGGCTGTGAAGCTATCAAGGAACACGGAGCCCTTCCCCAACGAGAAGGGTTCCTTCTTCAGCGCCCCGACTGTACGCGAAGGAGGCGTGGGGATCTTCAGCAGGGCGACTAAGGATGTTCGGGGGCGTCTGGCGAAGCTCGTGGGCTTGAAGGAGGACCAACTCTTGCAGATGCGTGGTGGCCAACGTCAAGAGTGCGCTCCTACAGTCCATGGACGTACGCGAAGGAGGCGTGGGGATCTTCAGCAGGACGACTGAGGATGTTCGGGGGCGTCTGGCGAAGCTCGTGGGCTTGAAGGAGGACCAACTCTTGCAGATGCGTGGTGGCCAACGTCAAGA